TCCGGCTCCTCCGACAGTGGAGACGGAGTGCGGTTTTGTAATGAATATGAGCAACACATCTCGAAGAACAACAGTTACAACGGTGAGTAACCGTCTTTTCACCCACAAAAGCTTATGCTCCAATACATCTGTTAGTCTTAAAGGTGCCACAGGACTCTCTGTTGATTTTTACAGATCCAGACTAACACGGCTACCCCGCTGATCCTATTGTAAATAGTTTGAGAAAGTTAGGTTTGAAGCATATTCCTAGTGAAAATAATTGCTTAGATTGCCTAATGCACATGCACAAAATTCATCTTGACATTTATTTTACTTAAATGGTAGAAACTAAAAGTAGAGGGGAAGCTGCTTTTCATAGCTTCTCCCAATATTTTTTTCACCCCTTTGAGTTCAGTTTTGGACAGTATCTTACCTTCATCTCTCTCCCATTTCCTGGGGGGGGGGGCAATGCTGAGAAATTAAAACTTTTTGTTTTGTTTTTTGGAATACTTGAAACATGATTTATAGCGGGGATGTAAAAATGAGATTCCAATGGCTTCTTTCTTGTTTTGTTTTCTGCAGGGCTCTGCTTTCACCATGTCAAAGAGGATTAATGATGTCGTCTCTTACCATTGTGTTCCCCACCTGTCGTCTTGGTAGGATCTAGCTACAGAATGAACATAGCAGCAGTGTTTAATGCCCTGCTAGTGTCTGCCCTTGCAGCTGTGCTGTGGAAATACATCAAGCTGCGAGAGCACGTCTTCGTGGTTGAAGAAGAGCTGGTCCTCATTCGCCAGTCCCAGGAACTCTCTCAGGTCCAGATTGACTACCATGCAGCTCTTCAGGCCCTGGTGGAGGACGGTACCAGGATGGTATGCACAGGCAGGATGCACACGGATCGCATCTGCCGCTTTGAGTCCCTCTGTTACTCCACTGAGGCAGAGGAGTTTGTCTTCTTTCACAGCAACGCGTCGGTTATGCTTCCCAATCTGGGTTCCAGGAGATTCCAGCCTGCCTTGCTTGATCTTTCCTCGGTGGAGGACCACAACACCCAATATTTCAACTTTGTGGAACTGCCAGTTGCTGCATTGAAATTCATGCCAAAGCCGGTCTTTGTGCCTGATGTGGCGCTCATCACCAACCGATTCAACCCGGACAACTTGATGCATGTCTTCCACGACGACCTCCTCCCGATCTTCTACACCATGCAGCAGTTCCCAGACTTGGATCTGGAGTCACGACTCTTCTTCATGGAGGGGTGGAGTGAAGGCCTGCACTTCGATCTCTACAAGTTACTGAGTAACAAACAGCCACTCCTCAGAGAGCAGCTTAAAACCCTGGGCAGGCTCCTTTGTTTTACCAAATCTTACGTAGGGCTGTCCAAAATCACCACATGGTACCAATATGGATTTGTTCAGCCACAAGGACCAAAGGCAAACATCTTGGTTTCTGGCAATGAGATCAGGCATTTCACCAAGTTCATGATGGAGAAGCTGAATGTCAGCTTGGAAGAAAGTGCCAGTGAGGAGTATATTGTAGTATTCAGTCGAACAATCAACAGACTAATCCTAAATGAGGCAGAACTGATCTTGGCGCTTGCCCAAGAGTTTCAGATGAAAACCATTACAGTCTCCATAGAGGACCATTCGTTTTCTCACATTGTACGTCTGATCAGCAATGCATCGATGCTAGTCAGCATGCACGGAGCCCAATTAGTGATGTCTCTCTTCCTGCCAAGAGGGGCCTCTGTCGTGGAGCTGTTTCCTTATGCGATCAACCCCGAACACTACACCCCATACAAAACACTGTCAACGCTCCCTGGCATGGATCTCCAGTACATTGCCTGGCAGAACACTGATCAGGAAAACACTGTAACCTTTCCTGACAGGCCATGGGACCAGGGAGGAATTGCTCACTTAGACAAGGCAGAGCAGGAACGCATAATAAAGAGCAAGGAGGTTCCACGCCACCTCTGCTGTCGGAACCCGGAATGGCTTTTCCGAGTCTACCAGGATACAAAAGTCGACATCCCTTCCCTTATCCAAGTGATCAGGCAAACAGTGAAATTAAAGCCTGGACCCAAGAAGCAGAAGTGGACTGGTGGTCTGTACCCTGGCAAGGTCAGGGATGCTAAGTGTCAAGCCTCTGTCCAAGGTACTAGTGAAGCGAAGCTCTCTGTGTCTTGGCAGATCCCCTGGAACCTTAAGTATCTGAAGGTCAGGGAGGTGAAATATGAAGTGTGGATACAGGAGCAAGGTGAAAACACTTACATGCCTTATATTTTGTCACACCAGAATCACACCTTTTCAGAAAACATTAAGCCATTCACGATATATCTGGTGTGGATCCGCTGCATCTTCAACAAAAATCTCCTTGGACCTTTTGCAGATGTGCTCTTGTGTAGTACGTAACCCACTCTCTCTCATGTGTCGAGTCCTGCCATGCACCCCACCCCATCAGTGGTTTTAAAAACCTGTTGTCCTGTAGTTTTTTAGAGGGCTGAAGAGGGCCAGACCATGCCAATTCCTAAGTGCCCATTTTATTGCATTTAATGTGTGTATTCTCTAGGTGGCATTTATTTCCATTTGGTGTAAGAGCTCTCTGTTCCGAAAGTAACCTCCAGAAATGAAATTACAAGCTGAATACCTGTAATTGAAAAGCAGAATGGAAGTGAATCGCGTGTAATTTGGTAGTGATTTGAATCTTTCTGTCGTGCAGTGAGTATTTAAGTGCAGCATTAAACTACAATTAATTATATGGCTAGATGGACAATTGTCATCATCTTTCCCCATTATAACTTATTTTTAAAAGCTGTATCTGTAACCCAAGTACAGGATTTGGTACAAGAGTATTCATTAAATTATTGTAAACCTCTTCAAGAGTTCTTTCCTCTTGTATCTGTCAAAATGATTGTTTTGTAAGAATTATCCAAGATCATGGTGAAATGTATGTGTGGGTAGCGCTCGCGCTCTCTCTCTCTCTCCCCCTTTCTTTTTCCTTCCCTCCATATTTTGGCTGAGAGGAATAAGACTGCAGCATCAATTCTGTTTAAAAATCAGGTTTTACTCTTACCCCAGTAGTAATACAAAAAACTGTTAAAAGGGAGAAGCAACAGATGAAAGATGAAAAGGGATGCGATGGGTAAAACAGCTGAGTGTGGGTAGGTAGTGCAAGCAGTAATTACTATATTTTAAGGTCTGTTTGCATTTTGTAAGTTGTAGACTAGTCTACAGTTCTGTAGGATGGGTGGGGAATGGCGGAGGGAGGGTGGTGGGGACAGTTTACTCCAACTTAACATTTTACATAAACCTTTTGTTTCCTGAAGTACAGTATAACCCTGTTCACAACAGCCACCAAGGGACTAATAATTCTATGGACACTTTAACAGGTGGTTGTTTAATTCTGATTAATAGGTGAGCTCTCTCCTATGAGATCAGAGATTTTACTGGCTGTTAATAGTCAAGACTACAGTTAACAGGTAATCACTAGCACACATGTCACTCTATTATACTGAAGAGAAATTGTGTGCTATGGGCCAGATTCTGATCTCGGTTACACTGAAGTCCAGAAGAACTCCACTGAAGTCAGTGGCAAGGGCATGGAACCTTTTGTAGAAGTGGGGGGGGGGCAAGGGCAAAGTGGATTCCAGTGTCCCTTCTCCCCTCCTGCACTCCCTTTTCCCCTAGCCACTGTGCTCTCTCGCGGTGCCCCCCTGGCGCTTGGTGCAGTCAGTCTCCTACCCTCCAGCAGCTGCACTTAGCTCGCTGGGAACCAGCCACACAGCCCGTCCTCCTGCCCTTCCCACCAGCCGTCGTCTGGCCCCTGCAGCACTGTGATCAACTCCCCCGCTGTGAAGCACAGTCCCTGCCAGTGCCGCTGTGCACCTTCCTGAGGTTTGCAGTGTGAGGAAGCCCTGGCCCCTTGCTCCCCCAACCCCACCCAGTTCTGGTGCTGGTGGTCAGTGGAGTTATTAAAGATTACACTGTGGCTCAATGTGATCAACAGGATCTGGTGCTGTGGTTTTATCCTCTTAATTTGATGGATTTCTGGGGCTCTGGAAAGGGTCAGATGAGGCTCTATCCTACAATCATCTAAATGAGTATTTCCAGGATTGGGCCCTTAATTATGTTGCTTTTGAGAGAGAGGTCTGTCTGACTGGGCTGTATTTATGAAGTAAAACCATGTAGGGTCAGACCTCTGGGTGCCTAAATTAGCCTGCTGCAGAGAAATCAAGGGGATTTGGCCTATGCTGTACTTAATGTCTTATTGGGTAAGGTACTTGAAGAATTTAATTTATAACTAAGGTAAAAGAAACTGGGAAGTGCTTCTTTCCAGTTCTGCAGAGGCAGCTGTGTAGTGGAATGGATTGAGATCCATTAATGGGATACCACCTGAGAAATGAGATTCTCCAGGCAAGATTGTGATACGGGTTTTGAAGTGCTAAAAATGTGTTGATGAATAAAAGGAAGGTTGGAAAATAAATAAAATGATGTCCAAAAGTAGGCCTTGAGGCTGGTACGTGTTCTGTGAATGCATTTCCATTAAGTTTTGTTTTGTTTTCAAGCATGGTTTGGGGTTTATTTATGATGAAGTCACATTTGCTTCACAGTTCTGTCATCCTGGACGAATGATGATATAGTTGAAAGGGGACTGTTGATATGTCTGTCATCCTCTATGTTCCTAGGACCAGATGAACTACTTGATGAGTAAGGTACTTCCCATTGTAATGGTGGCTGTTTCTGGCCCCTAGATCTGCAAGGTCTCCATCTGAAATGGGCCTTCAAAGGGCTGAACTTTGAATTTCTTCTTTCAAGTATTCAGAAAAAAAATCTCTTTGGGTATTAAGCGCTACGTGTTCTGATAAACTCTGCTGATGTGACACACGTACGTGTGTGTGTGTGTGTGTTGCTTAGGTGCACCTTTTGTAACATTTATCTTTAGAATGCTATTTTGCCAGCCCTTTACTCGTAATGTGGACTAACCCTTTTTATTTAATTAGTTTTCTATTGTAGCTAACTTCCTAATGTTTGCAAATTGGTTACAGCACATTAACTTATTTTCTTCACATATCCACAGTGGCATCGTAATGTCTCTAAACATAATTGTCTGTAAAAAACCAACAGCTTACAGTAAATACGGACTTACATTTTTTGAACCATTACATTCTATTGACTTAACACGAATACAAATGTGAGGTGATAAATTGTGCTGGCACCTTTTTCCAGAAGACAATCATACATGCTGGCTTTAGTTTGCGGGTCCAGGTGGCGGTAGCCTGTGATATACAGGAGGTCAGACTCGATGATGGTCCTTTCCAGCCTTGAACTTGATTCTGTGCTTTACAAAATAGTGTATGTTCAGGTGTTACTTCCCCCACCAGTGTGTTGCATATTTGTATAAGATAGTAACGAAAACAAAGGGTAAACATTTTTTTCCTCACTACTAAAGTGTAAAAAAAGGGAAGCTAAACTACAGACATCTTGATTGTAACTGTAGAGATCTTACTAACCCTCACCCCAATACAAGAATGTCTGCAATAGGGCTTCACTACCCCATCCTGAGCTCACCTTGTGTCTACCAGGTTGCAGTGAAGCCATTCAATGTCAAGGCCCAGACCCTGATCCATAGCTGTTGCAATTCAGCAAAGCTCTATTGACTGCAATGGTGCTATGCTGATTTATGCCAGCTGAAGATCTGGCCTGGAGTTTTAGCCTTGCCTCTGTAGTTGATTGATTTTTGTATCTCCACCAAAGCTCGGAGGTTCCATTCCATTTTCTCTTCTGTCACCCACAATCCATCTGTTTTACTTCCCATGGTCCTTGATGGCTTATGACACAGCCTCCATCTTTCAGGTTGAAGAGAACTTGACGGGGCTTGATTCTGTCAATGCTGCTCCTTAATTAAGCCAAAAGGATTGCTTTGCATTTAATGTACTGCTTATGTATCTCTAACATTCACAGGTGCTCATTCCAAAATGTTGGTAGAAGCCTATTAAGCTAAAGGGGAGCTCCTTTCAAAAAGTAGTAGTAGCAGCAGTAAGTCTCTAGTGGGATTGCAACATCGCTCCCTCATGCACACAAAACAAGTACAGTATAACCTCTGTGGCACTCTCAAGCCTTGTCTATACTACCGCGGTAAGTCAACCCTAAGTTACGCTACTTTAGTTATGTGGATAACATAACTAAAGTCGACGTAGCTTAGGTCAACCTACTGTGGTGTCTACGCCACACTATGTCGACAGGAGACACTCTCCTGCTGACTTGACTTACTCTTCTTGGAGAGCTGGAGTACCAGAGTCGATGGAAGAGCGCTCTGCCGGTAAGTGTAGACACTGCTGTCCTGGAGCATGAGAAATGGAAGGCGTTTAACTCCCGGATGCTCTCTTGACAGTACAAAACACTAATAGCAGGCTCTCAAGGCAACTTAGAAAAGGCCCTTAGCTAGCCTGAAAATATTTACAATGCCTAATTGTCTAGGACAGGGGTTCTCAAACTTCATTGCACCACAACCTCCTTCTGACAACAAAAATTACCTCACGACCCCAGGAGGGGGGGACCAAAGCCTTAGCCCACCCAAGCCTCATTGCCCGGGGGGGGAGAGAAGCAAAGCTGAAGCCCAAGAACGTCAGCTCCAGGTGGGAGGCCTGTAACCTGAGCCCTGCCATCCAGGGCTGAAGCCTTCGGGCTTTGGTTTTGGCCCTGGGCGTTGGGGCTTGGGCTTCGGCCCCAGACCCCAACAAGTGTAATGCCAGCCTTGGTGTCCCCCTTTAAAATGGGATTGTGACCCACTTTGGGGTCCTGACCCACAGTTTGAGAACTGCTGGTCTAGGATATGAAGAAGAAATATTCTTATTTTAATTGGTATTAAAGCTAGGGCCACAGGACCCCCTTATCTTCCAGTCTCCCACGTAGAATTGGGTGGAGGAAAAATGGAATGGAATATTTATCAGATTGCATATGAAAAGGGATTGAACTGGCAATATTGTTATTCATGGGTGGGATTTTCAAAAACACATAAGTGATTTAGATGAGGTCCCAGTGTTGGTTTTTTTCCTTTTTAATGGAGCTTGTGTTCCCAAGTTATTTGTATGCTTTTGAAAATTCCACCCTGTAATGAAATCTGTAATCTGATGTGAAGCATGTTTCCTGGGAAGCGTTTGTTACCCAAACTAGTTACAGGAATTTAGACATGGTTGGAGATGGAGACCTGTGAATTAAGTATATCCAGCGGGCCCTGTCCATAAAGAAGAGCAGTAACGGTCATCTTTTGCTCAACATGCTTGGAAAAACAGTCGCTGCAGTGGTGAGTTCTCTGAAGAACCTGAGAGCAGTTGTACAATGTAAGGAATAAAAAAGAAATCTGTCTCGAGACGAGCCAGAATTGTTTATGAAGGGAGGGACCAATCCCAGGGCAACTCGACTGAATGCTTTTGGGGCGATTGGCAGCTGGAACCTGTGTTTTTAGAGGAAATTGCTAGAGTTCTTATTAGTATGACACTGACTAACAGCAGCTTTCCAGGGACCTGGTATATTAGAAAGTATTAACATTTAAAGTTTAATATTTCTGTATTGTTTGATTATATTTATTGAATGAAATCATTTGAGCTGTTCTTAATCCTACTGCGTGGTTAGTTGTATTCATTGAATGGCTTTTGAAATCCTTGCTCTGTGTAAGAGACAAGTAGGCTACCATTTAGAGTTTAGGTGATTTAAAGTTACGTGACTTGGATTGCTCCCACAGTAGCATATGGGATGAAGGCAGACCATCAGGCTATAAATCAAGACCTGTGATATTGGTCTTGGGTGAATGATACTTTTATATTGATGAAATTCAGTTTCCACTAAGAGGCCGAAGCTCATATTCTCTGCTGAAGG